ACATGCACCCCAAATCCCCGTTCGACGGACTACGCTTTTTCGGAGGATTACGGAGGGAGTTGAAGTGTGCCAAAATGTGTCAGCGCGTCAAGTAGAAGCAGAGCAGGTTCAACACCATCGACAATTGGAGAGGGGTCGCGTAGGTGAGACCACAGGTATCAGGGCGTTGCAGGCAGACTACAGGGTGTAGTCAGACCACCTCACAACACTCTTCCACCAGTGACGTCCAGAAATGACTCCGCCTCTAGCCAAATAGTGTTATGAAAGAGAAAATATAAGCTTACCATATCATAGTGAATCATTCGGAAGAGTCGAGTGAAAAGTCGAGATGGATCCAAAGTGAATTCAAGCACTTGACGTCCCGGTGACAATGGACATGATGGATTATCTTGGCAGAGATCGTAATTGTTCCTGAATGAATGTGATACACTGGGAATGAACTAAATGAATGGTTGAAGGCAAATGGCACGATAAATTGGTCGCCCTTTGAGAATGAAAGCAGAGCTGCTATGAGTGGTGAGAAAAACTAAGAGAAACGGTCTAATGCGCGCTGAACGAGCCTGGTTTTCCCCGCAGGCGAGTCTCATCGCTGCTGTCAACACTGCGCTCTGCTCTGATTCTGTGCTGTGCTAAACCCCTTGAGTCCGACTGCGAGGAATCAACAGCTGGGTAGCCAGTTTCAGAGAGGGCAGATGCAAGGGCTGCCAAGGGAGACGGATAAAGCCCTGTTACGTCGCCACAAGCGTACCCTTGGCCGCGAAGGTGTCACCTATGCGTCACTTAGCAGCTGAACCTCCCTGTGATAAGCACATCCCCTTATCCTACATGAAGTTTATCGTGCCACCTGCCTTCAAAAGCTGTGTAGCGCCAGCAAAGACGTCACCGGTCGGTCACCAGTTGTTTCGTTTTACATAGAGTGAAAAATTTGTCTGGGCACTAACAGCATTCCGAAACTCGGTAGAAACATCCATCCACAACCGAACCATCCAGTTGACCTTTTGTACAATGAGACGTCCAATCCCAAATTGTCATATCTGAAAGAATGGTTGAAAAGTTATTCGTGGATTTCAGTTATCATAGCACTTGACTTTTCAGAGATACCCTCATTCATCGCCATTACGAGGAACTGACCGTCGTGAAGCCGCACTCGTCACATCTAGAAAAACCCGTACAGCTTTTTCGAAATTCACCGGGTACCGGTCGTCTCCTTCCATGTTTGTAATGGCTCCACCATGCAAAATCACAAGGGTTCCTGGAAAGGAGGGTGAATATCTCATGTTTCAGTTTTGAAATTTTGAAATTCGGTCAGCAGCACTGTTGACCAAATGTAGGCTGAAGTGCATGCACTAAGATTTCTCGCATCCGTTAGCGTCGAGTAGCCTGTATAAAATGTACAGGTCACTTTTCCACCTTGCAAGAAAATTGTGCAACTAGTTAATAAACCCTGAGGAGGATGGAATGCTTAGTTGGCCTTGAGCCTTGATTCGATCTGGAAGTTGATCGTGGACCATACCATGGGAGACACGCCACTTGGCATTGTACCACCTCAGGTCCCGAATTTCATCCTAGGGACGTGCAATAAAGGAGAATGAGATAGGCTGCCAGCAGGCGCTACTCAAGCCCAAGGGATGGTGGCCGAATTGAGCTGCTTGAAATTTCATCAAGATGGGAAATTTGCCGTTTCATCAACATGATGAATTGAGGTCGAGCTCAGTACGTGGATATACCCTAAACGTCAGAGAAATGAACTCTTAATAATCAATAATCTATGGAAATAGACAGACGTGATGCGTTCCATAATCCAAAGCATATACATTTATCCCACAGCTGCATTGCTGACGCAACAGTCTGATGAATTGGTACTTCACACAATAGAGCGCTCAGCTTCAAATCTGACCAGTGACGCTTTTCCTAGAGCAAACCTGAAAGTTTCCCCCCACACCGGCCCCGTGCAGATTGAGGCTTGCCTGAATGGTCCCGAAGCATTATAGCCACCAAATCATCGGTTACATTCAATGTCGGCTTGTACCGCAGGGAATGGTGCGCTCACTTTATCATGAAACTGTCAGAATTTCCCGCAAGCAGAAGATATCTTATACAGCATTTGAAAATAGCCTCATTCTAGAAGTTTGAATTTCACTGCGAAAATAAGCATAAAAAAAACAACCGTCGTTTGATGGAACCATTAGAGAAACATTATCTTGAACAATAAAGAATGGCTAGAACACCTCCTAGCAGTAACTGAGCCCAATAAGTCTTTATTTATGTCCACAAAATCCCCTTTATAAGAGAATCGCTCACTCCTACTTCTGCAACACGTCAGCTCGAAAAACGTCAAAACAGATATCTAACCAGCTGTTCATTTTAGATTCCCACGCTCGAATCACCGTTCAAGAATTGCAGTAGCTTGTATCGTATTTGCCTTCACCGATGAATTGTTTTAAGCATTCTGAGCTCTAACAAATCGAATTTGGATTGCTGGGAGGCTGATCGCCCTGAACGGAATTGAAATTCAATTGAATATGAACTACAAAGTGCATGAGAAATGGCGTTATGCCGTTCCGATCTGAATTTCAAATTCATCTATAAGACCGTGCTAATAAAAAATAAAGATAACCTGCTCCCAAATAGGGTAACCGGCCTTTTCGTATCTCTGTCGACGAAGGCGCATTCTTGATTTCGGGAAGGAAGGGGTCAACATTTTGAGGTTGAGCAAAGCTATCATAAAGGGTACGGAGCTTGACTGAAGGTTGTATTAGGACGGGTCTTTTGATGGATAAGTTTCGCGGAAGTAGTGAGGATAAAATTGGCGGGTTTGCCGCTTTGTAATGTAAGTTTACCCTTCCCCCCTCCCTTCCCCCCGACCACCAGCATCTCCCGCTCAGGCCATTTTCGAACAATAAGTAGGTGAGATGCGAAACGTCACTGCCTCTCTGTGGTCAGAACAAATACTACTTAAGAAACACCATGATGATAGGTGGTGTCCAGAAGTGAAGGGATGTAACTTGGGAACCTTCTAAAATGATGGCTGGAATGTGGGTCCTATCGCCACTCCCTTCCCTCTTAATGTGCAACAGAACAATTTTCAGATAACTGCGACTTGACGGTTGTCTGCCCCAACTTTCACGGGGATCCCAGCGAAATGACATGATACGGGCGATTATGAGCGTTTGAACTGCTCACGATATCCAAAAATTCGCAAGTTTCCCACACTGAAATAAGGCCGAGTTCTGAAGCGTGGTTTAGCCCTAAACACGGCACTGACTTATATTGACGGGTCAAAATCTGATCGGAGTAACTCTTTCGGGTGTTGGTGGACGTCTCATGAAAAAAAAGAAGTCTCAGTTTTTTTTAGTCATTTTACAGAGTCAGCTCTTATGACAACTAAATGGCTCCTCCCACAGAAAATGGCGGCAGATTAATCGGGTAGTTGTGATTTTCTGCGTACGTCGCGTGCCCGATTCGCCATGTCTGTCGGACATCTGAACCCAGCCCCCTGAAGTTCATCACCCAGTTGGTCCAACCCACGAGACTGCGAACTACTTCAAGCGGAATTCTTGTTTTGAAGAAGTAAGCACTACATCAGAATTGGATAGAGTTCTATTCTTGAGAGGTTCATCTGACTTTTGGTTTCATTTTTTTTTGCAATCCTTACGTTGCTTGAAGCTTGTTAGGTTTCAAACAGAAATCAACCAATCTGGCGCATTAAGAAAGTCCATCGCTATTTTAATTCACAACATTTTCATTGGTAACACATATTTACCCTTCACTGTCCCCTCCTCAGAGAACTGAGCCGATTTTCATCGAAATTTGTCATGACTGTGGAATTTGGCCAGAAACTTGCACTGGGTAATTCGACCCGTAGAACACGAATAACATTAGTACACCCCAAAAATGCTTGGCGCGCGCATAGGCACCGGCGCTAGGCGCACTAATTTTGTGCAGGCGCCTGAGGTCCAGGTTACAAGTTCATTTGCGACGAGCTAGCGTGGTATCTATGTTCTACGGGTCAGACTACCCTTAACGACAAATTTTCAACAAATTTTTCGATCCCACATTTCTTGCGTCTTTTGGCGAGGGCGCTGGAGGGCGCTTTTGGAGCGGGCGTCAGACACTCGCGCTATTCGTCTTGTATAAGTCGAACGCGGGAGAGGCTTTAATCACCAAATCTGCAGGCACGGACAGATTTCGATGAAATTTCGGCTCTGTTTTTGAGCAGTGGGGCAGTAAATGGTAAATAGTGCCTTTTCATTCGTCCTGTAAGTATAACCGAAACTGATCGCAGAGCAAAATTCCCAACAGGGCCGCTGGGACCTGTTTAATCGGGCCCATTCGGCAACACCCTAACATACGGTCAATTCGACTTCCGTGAACAAACACTGACTTGATTGCATAGCATGGCGCCAGGATTATGCCCATAGACGATACTAGGACTGGACATGACCACGTCTCGACAAACCGTACCTTCTTTACACATGGAGAATGCTGGTCGTTTGCTCGTACCATTTGGCAAGCCTTCGCAGATCTCGTCACTTTGACGATCGTGCTCCATCAGAGGTGCTTGCAGGTATGACTGGATCTTACCTGGAAAGAGACAGCAAACGGTGATGATCAGAAAGGCATCGAAAACAAATGGTAATCTTATCAATAGCTAGGCACTAAAAACAAGAAAACCCAGAAATTAGTAAAACGTGGCACATCAGAGACAGAGATCTTCCGTTTGCTTGTGTCTATGGCCTTATTGGGACGGTGCAGTAGGGGCGTTAGACGCTTTGGGTGTTGGCTTCTAAGACAGAGCGATTTTTTCGCTGCTGAAACTCCAGGTGATCAGGAATGGACCTGGGGTTCCTGCAGCGAAAAAACTTTGTGCTGCGAAAAGCGAAAATGACGCTTTCTGTACTTGCGACCCACACCCTATGGGATGACTTCAACTAATTACGAATATTATGAGGTTATCGCTCCAAAACAGTGTCACAAAAGAAAAGCACATCGAAAGATTAGCTCCATTTCAAAAACGTTTATTCCCGAGCTATTTTGGAGTCACTCAAATAGGAACGAACTTCCAGTATGGTGCTAATTGCCTATCGATTGTAAAACTGCAGAGTAAAACTTATTTGTTTAATTATTTAATTATCATAGACGAGGAAATAGGGCCTACGAGAAACAGTGACGCAGTACTTCAAAGATCTTGCGAGCGTAGTCTCCCTTTCAAAAAACGAGAAGAGCGTTGGGCGCAGACCTTACACCACAAGTGACGACGGATTCCAAGTAAATCTAGTTAGCAGTGGTTTATAGTGGTAGCTGATTTTTGGGAAACAATAG